CCCATTTGTTCTTGGGATGAATTAAACTCATTCTTGAACTGTAGATCAAACTGCTATTAAAAACAAAAGCTACAAGACCCGTTTCTTCAAAAGACAAAAGCCTCTGAGATCAGCTGAGGTTTCTGTAAAAGAGGGTGTGTATGTATTTATAAGTATGATGTGAAAGCATGAACACAAGTATGGCTGTCAAACTTACTGTCTGGTGCTGTTCGTGGTTCTTGGGCCAAAATCATTATCAGTTCATGATCTGCCCTCCTGCCTCCCTGCCTGCCTGCCTACCTACCAAAAGGACCTTGGATTCATGTAGTTAACATTCTCTCAACACAGGTTCCTCAGTGAAAGATGCAAATCTACTTCAAGAACTCCAACAAAGGAAAACTCACCACCTTCTGAGATTCCACTCTTATGCTATTCTTATCGTTAGAAAATTTCTCCTAAGTTTTGCCAAAAACAACAGCTGTGCAATCTCATTACATTAATTATAATCCAGCCCATTGGAAATCTACTCCTTTTTCTTCTAATATCCTTTTGCATATTTTCCCTTAGTCTTCTCCAAGCTACACGTCCCCAACTTTCAATGCTTCTTCACAGAACGTTGGCAGAGACTGATAATGGTGGAGAGAGCTTTATCCTTGGTTGGGGTCATACCCAGTTGCAGTGTGCTTGGGCTGCATCCTGCCCGTTTGCTCTAAAGTAGTTCTGGCAAAATGCTTGGACTCTAAAGCTAAATTTTGAAAAGGAAGTTAACTATATCACTCTATTATCAATGTTATGTTGTAACATCTTCATGTCCCAGTTTTCTACTGAATTTATACATGGCCTCTCTAAGCAAAAAGTTAACATTATTAGTTGGGACAAAGTATGGTGAATTTAGATATTTAGCAGCAATCCTTGAACAGGTCGATTACACATGAAGCTGCTGAGAATAATTATTTTGCTGCCCTTCCCTCTATTTGTAAAAATCTGAAAGGAGTAAAAATTTAATCCTCTAGCTCTAAATAGATTTTTTTAAACAATATTAACTTTGGCAGGACCCAGGAAGAGAGCCTTCTTGGCCGTTGCCCCTGCCCTATGGAACATTCTTCCCCCAGAGGC